GGGGGGGGGGGGGTGACACCCACTCACGTGGCCTGATGCCAACGCGACGGTAAGGAACTAAATTAGCAATTAGCACTAATGAAGCGAAACCCTGGAGCCTCATCAGGGAGCCCAGGGCAGGAGCCCCCCCATGTCACCCCCCCAAGACCCCAGGGTGCCACCGCAGCCGGGCTGTGCCGCCGTCCCGGGGCCACCGGCGGCAGAGGGCACCAGGAGACCGGCCAGGGCTCGGCCGGAGGAAGGGGCTGGGTTGGTTTTCCCCCTCCCCTGCACGAAATGTCTCCTCAGATAAATCAGTTTGATTCTTCATGAGAAGGGGACGCTTTTCTTCAGAAATTACACCCTGTGAGAAACCTCACGTGTCTCTGCCCAAACCCAGATCGGGATGTACCGAGTTTACACACCCTAATGCTTTATTTTCCTCTAAAGAGAACTTACTCTTGTTTTCCCTCACACCTGCGCTTTCTCCTCTCCCTCTTGGGCAGGTCCAAGGTCCTCTCCAGTGCTCCCCCGCCGGTACTGGGAGTGATGGTTGTACTGGGATTCACTTTAGCAGCACAACACAGCGATACATAAATCACAACACGTAGCCATGGCAAAGTCCCCTGTAACAGCAAACAGGTAAATATCTCTATAAGTAAATAAATAAGTAAAATAAGTGACTTTTAGCACCCAGTCCCGGGGGTGTGGGTACCCAACAGGTACTAGGGAACACTGGGCTCGGCAGGGCCACCCCCACACTGGCCTCGTGCCCTCCTGCTCCCCAAAATGACGTCCCGCCACATGCGCACCCACCGTTTGAGTCACTGAATTTCACTGAATTTTAGAGTTGGAAGGGACCATAGAGATCATCTAGTCCAACTGCCCTGCCAAAGCAGGACCACCCAGAGCTTGTCAGAGCACGTCACCCCAAACAAATATTTTAAAAGAACTTATTTCCTGGTGCCCCGGAGAATGGTGCGGGCGATGCCTTTGACCTCCAGGCTGGGAATCACAGAATCACATGGGGTTAGAAGGGACCTCTGGAGATCACCCAGTCCAACCCCCTGCCAGAGCAGGGCCACCCAGAGCAGGTCGCACAGGAAGGTCTCCAGGTGGGTTTGGAATGTCTCCAGAGAAGGAGACTCTACCACCTTCCTGGGCAGCCTCTTCCAGCGTTCAATGAGATACTTCATAAGACCCCAAATATAACCAGCTGGTACAAAATGTTGCCAAAAGCCTTTTTTTGGGGGGGAAAACAGCCTTGCTGAAGTGTGCTTGGTCCAACAAACACCCCACAGCAGAGCTGAGGTCAAAGGGGAGTGAAGCCACCACTTTTCTTACCGGGATAACACTTCCTGCTCCGGAGACACACGGGAGCCTCGAGGCTCAACGTCCCAGCAGCCGGATACGCCGTCGGGATGGACACCTCAAGTCGGGATGGACACCTCAAGTCGGGATGGACACCTCAAGTCCCGCTGGCGATACCAGGAACATCAGGTTTTCAGCAAAACTCACCCCAGGGAATAAAAAGCCCTCGGCGGCTGCGGGGAGGATGTGCCACCGGATTTGGAGCCCCCGCACACGGAGAAGGGGGTCGGGTGCGGGGAAGGAGCCAGCACCGTGTCCCAGGGTGGGTGGTGGTGTCCCCAGAGTGCCCTGTGAACGCACAGGGGTTCAGCTCCCAATGGGAGGGGGAAAAAAATAGACAAATAAAATGAAGCTTTTTTTATTATTATTATTTTTTTGGCAGCGTTTTCAGTCAATTTGAGCGCTCGGGGCCAGGCGCTGGAGCCCTCCTCAAGACGTACATACGCTGATGACGGTGTAATTAGCAGCCGTTAATAAACCCCCGCCTGGCAAAACGCCAGCCTTGGGCCGGAGGGTTACCATATGCCTCCTCATTAAAAGCTTTAATTACAGGCAGGAAACGCCGGTGGCAGCCACAGCTTTAATTGCTTCACCTCAAGCTGGCGACGGGTTCAGCTCCCTCCCTCGCTGCCAATCCCACAGTGGCCGGGGGCTGCTGTCCCCATCCCTGTCCCCATCCACAGCAGGGCTGAGGGGACCAGCAGGGCAGGGAGGAGATGCTCATGCCACACCATCCTGTTGTAAGAATGAAAAAAACCCCACCCTGTTATGCAAAAAATTATCTTTCCCAGGGATTTCGGGTGGCCCAGACTAAGCAAGAGCATCCCCCCACCCCAAAACAGCCCTGAGAATCCTCCTCTGCCAAAAAAAATTAGAGCTTGGTGGGCAGGGGGGATGTAGGGAGGGATGGAGGGAGGGATGCAGGGGGGAAATAGAGGGGGGGATAGAGGGAGGGATGGATGGAGGCCCCACAGGTGATGTGATTTGTCCCGGCTGGTGTCCCTTAATGGCTTTGCATATCACACCCCGTAAAATCAGAGAAGTGTGAAAGCACCTCTCAGGGATTTATGGAGAGCTGCCCTGGTGCAGCCCCCGCCTCTGCACCCCAGCCATGGCATTAAAATAAATGGGGCGCAGAAAATGGGCATTCAGACCCCATTAGTGGCAAAACATTGATTTACTCAAGCGAAGAAACTCATCAGGGCTTGGCGCTGGCAGCTCCTGGCTGTGTTTGCTGGACCTCCTCGGCAATTGCTTTAAAAAAGAACATGGTAAACAGCTTTTTCCTACTCAAGGAGAAGAAAAGAAAAAAAAAATCCTTGAAATGTTTGGCAGCAAAGGGATCGCTTTCACGTGTAAGATCATTTTTTGTCCCCCCCAAGTTAAACCAAAGGAAAAAGGGAGGGGAATTAAACAGCCTCTGCTGGAGGGAAGCCTTGGAGACGGCCGGGGAGCAGCACAGATAATGATGAAAGGTGATGTTTATAAAGAGGACACTCCTGGCTGGGTCTGTGTCGTCTGAGGGCTGGTCACTGCCCCTCTGCTGGGGACAGGAAAAGCCACGTCCCTCGCACAGCCCAGCAGGGCTTCAGCTGCTTCCCAGTCCATCCTGCCCCCCCATCCATCCCACCAACGCTGCAGGTATTTTTCAGTGGCAGCCACAGCCCCGGGGCCACACTTGGAATGACAAAAATGTGATTCAGAGGTTGGTTTGGCTCCACCTTGGCTGGAACTAAAGACTCAGGCTTTTGCTTTAAAACCCCCACCCATTTGTAGCCCAAAGTCCGGGCAGCAGCTGCTTACCAGCACCCCAGCCTGCAGCTCCTGAGGACACACTCCAGCATCTAATATCAGACCCAGCAGAAACATCTTTCCATCTTTTGTTGGAGATCCTCCTAGGAAAGTTAATTTCAGCCTGAAGAGGAAAAAAAGAAACCAAACAAAAAAAACCCCAACAATAAACTAAGCAAATGAACTAGAGAAATAACATTGAGACAAGACTGAGCCTTTGGAGCTCATTCCCCTGCACGGATCCTGCCAGGCAGTGATGCCCCAAAACTGGATGCTTTGGACCAGATGATCCCACTTCTGGGACTCGTCTGCTTAGAGCCATAGAATTGACGGGGTTGGAAGGGACCCCCAAGATCATCGAGTCCAACCATTAACCCAGCCCTGCCAAAACCACCACTGACCCACATCCCCCAGCACCACGTCTGCTGGGATTTTAAATCCCTCCAGGGTTGGTGACTCCCTGGGCAGCCTGTTCCGGTGTTTGATAACCCTTTTGATAAATAAATTTTTCCTAATATCCCTCCCACCCCTCCCCACCCCGGTTCTCACACCCACCAGCTGCTCTGATTATTTTTGTCCCCCGTCCCCCAGCAGCTCCCCAGCCCGTCACCTCCCTGCACACCCTCTGCCCGGGCAGCCGTGCCTCCTTACGTGGCTTCTGGGGATTTTATCACCTCTCATTTCCCTGCAGAAAGGAAATTCTCCCGCTGCTTTGCCTCACTTATCCCTCCCGAGCTGTTATTACTCCCACTTAGGCAATTCAGAATATTATTCCCTCCTGTCACCTTAATTTCTAATAATTAGTATTTGGTGCAACGCTACAGCAGAAGTCAGCTCTTAATGAATATTATAATAAGCACTAAATTATAATTTACTGCTGAAGAAATCCATTTTGAAACGCAGCCCATTTAGAAGAAAATGAAGGGGGGGAGCACCTTTCAAACCATTTACCCGGCTGGATCCAAACACAAATGGAGTCCCCACCGAGAGCCTGAAATGACCATAAACCCTGGGGACATTTTCTGGCTGGGACACGTCACCGACCACAGCTTGGGGCTGGATGTGGGGTGGTGGCAGCGACGTGACCCACCGAGGTGGGACCAGGACACCGCATTCCTGGGGAACAGGAAATTATATGACCTCAATATTTTATTTACTCTCTGACAAAACACTGGGGTCTTAATCCACCCAGGGTGGGAGCGGGCGATGGCATTAAACCAGGATAAGCATTTGTGCATTAAGGAGTCCTCGATGTCCCCGTTCACACCCCAGGGACCCCACCGGTCCCTCTCACCGAGCGGTTTTCCTTCCTTTCCTTCCTGGTGGCAGCGGGTCCAGCCCCGTTGCTATGGTGCTGGGGCACATCTGGGCATGTTTTTCTGAGCTTATCGCACCAAGCGCTGCTCCCGGGGCACAAAGCAAAGGGGCACCGTCTGTACCTGCTCACCATCACCCAGCGCTCAGCGACCCAGCCCCAAGGGGGGGGTCTTGGTGCTTCAGGCATTGGTGCTGGTGCCAGAAATGTGAGAAACAAGAAATCCAACTAGGAAAAAAAAAAAAAAAAGAAGGAAAAAAAAAGGGGAAAAAAAAAAAAAAGGAGGAAAAAAAAAAGTTTAAAGTTATTTTCAGCAGCTGCCTAGACCTGCAGGAGGTGGGGATGTGGGGATGGAGCTCATCCCCACTTTCCCCACACCGAGGCAGCCCATGCCCCTCACACCTGCCAAGCCCTGGCATTTCTGCCCTCATTTTGGGAGAGCCACAGCTATCTGTCCTCATCACCACCCCTAGAGATGGTCATTCCCTTCACAAAAATGCAAACCCTGCACTTGTTAGGGGTAGAAATAAAGCTGCAGGGCTTATAGAAGTCAGGCAATCTGTGTTTTAAACGGGGCTGCACCTAGAAGATGGTAATCGCGAGATCCTTCCTCCCACATAACGGGGCCACAAAGTGCCTTTTTGCTCAACGTTTCCAAAATAAATAGCAGGTTTTTGTCTCCGGGTGGTTTGCTGGGAAACACCCGTCCCCATCTCGGTGCGCGGGCTGTCGCTGCAGGCAGGAGGGGAAAATGAAGCCGTAACATCCCGATGCAGAGCACGGAGGTGCCTCGTTACCTCCCCGGCTGCAGGGGGAGAGACAAGGGTGGGCTCTGACCAGGATGTTTCTGTGCTGGGATGAGATTCCCAACAGACATCAACTGGCTCAGGGCATGAAGGGAGCTCCTGCTTTCTTCAGGGAGACAGGAAAGGGAGGTCAAGGATTTCCCAAGCTATGCCTGCACTTGGAGAGTTTGCCAAGGCAGATAAAATGGCAAAGCCCAGCTAGAAACAACGTGGGTCGTCTGGCAAAACTGAGCATCCCCCCCCCCAGCGCATCCCCTCCTGACAACACAACAGCAAATAACCCTGCTCCGCTGGAAAAACACGCTTGAGGACACAATACAGACAACTTTCTCCTTTTTCCATGTCCTCCTGCTGTCTGGGCGCTGCTGAGGACCTGGCCCCACGTGGGAGACCATCCCTGGCTGGAAAGGTTTTGTTCTCCCCGTTTCCATCCCCTGACCACGAAGCCAAACAAATCCACTGGTGGGAATGAGAAGCTGTGCCCAGTTTAACCGAAGGGAACCTGCCCTGTGCCCCCCGAGGGACGAGCTGTTGGAGGGGACACCAGTGTCTGGGGGACTCAGCTCCCCCCGGGCACGTCATCGGGGTTCTCAGGCTGCAAAGGTGTCAGGAGAACAAAGCAAGCCCAGGGCACCTTAGTGACAGAGGGGACCCCGGAGCCAGTTGAGGGCACGTACCCTGTGCCTCGGGTCCATTCAGACTGGGAGGGTGTGAGCAATTTCCACACCCCTGAATTAACAGTTGTGTTTAGCATTAAAGATTATTGGGCAGAACATCAATGACAGGTGATGAGACATCACCTTCCCCCCCCCCCCCCCCCCCCCGTGTATGTAACTACAAAGCTGGGGCAGGGGGGAAGTTTAACAGTGTTATTTTAAATCTGCTTAAAGTAATACCAAGGGCTGAAATAGAAAACCTGTAATCAGATGGAACTTCTCCCCTTCATTCCAAATAGCCAAGGCCAGCTGAGCCAGGCGAGGCTCACAAATTGACAGGATCTTTGGGATTCCCACTGCCCGGGCTGCCAGGACCCACCGGCAGCGGGGAAGGGGGTGCAGAACCCACGGCTGTGGGACAGTAACGCTGTGCCATGCTCTGTGGGTCTGGCCCCTGCTCTGTGGGGCTTGTGACTCTCAGAAGTGAGAAACTTGTGCGCTGTCACCTTAAGGACTCACTTTGTTTCAAAGGCTGCTAGAGAAACGCTCTACGTTTCCCACCACCCCCCTCCCCCCCCCCCCCCCCCCCCCCCCCATTTTTTGGTATTATAAGAACAAGGAGAGAGCAGTGCCTCCCTGTGCCTCACCTGCAGGAAGGTCCTCGGAGCACCGTGGGACCAGCCACCCAGTCCTGCCCAGCAGCACCCGAGGAGCTCGGGGTTTGCTGTGGATTCCACAGACGTTTGCTCCAGCCCAACCCTTCCTTTCCAAAGCAAATTGCACATTTCTTCAGAAGCAAATGCAATTAAGGCAAGAAACCATCACAGATCACATTCCAGCCAGGTGCTGTAAGGGCTGGGGGTGCGGTACCAACGCACGACGGGTCCCTGAACCTCTCCAACCAGGGGAAAGCCCAGCAGGGAAGGGGCAGGGATGAGGGGAGCAGTGGAAGCCCCTCGTTGCTGCAGGAAAAGCACAGCGAGGGCTGGACCAGCAGAGCCCACCAGAGATGGCAGGAAGCACCACGTCAGGAACCCCACTTAGGCCACGTCTCATTTCTGTAGACTTTATTGTCATTTTTCTCTTCAGTTCTAGAGTACAAAAGCATGCAAAAAATAGCATCTCTATTCATGGTACATATTTACAGGGTAACGGCCACGCGCCATTACGGTACTGAGTGCATATACATCATGCTTGAGTTATAGCAGAGTACACATATTTAACATCAAGTATAACAAGAGACTTAAATAATAACAGAACAGGCCTATAAATCAGAAACAGCAGCAAAATTACGGCACAGAGGATCCAAATTATATCCCCAGAAGTTGCGATTTATTTTGTCTTGAATTTACACTAATTTTTTTTTTTTTTGGAACGCTTGGACTTGATGGCTTGTGGTTACTGACTGAGGGCCTGGGCATCACCAGCAGCAACGCTGAGCAGACACAGCTTTCCTGCAGGGAAGGGAAGGTGCAAGGCAGCAACCAGCTCTGGAGCTCCTCTCCTTCCCCAGGGGTCTGCAACAGGGTCACGGGATAATCCAGGTTAACTCAGGTTGGGAGGGACCCATCAGAGCACAGGCTGTTGCAGGAGGCTCTGGGCCAGAAAAGAAATCCCTTTCCCTGCTTTGCCCAGCAAACACCTCCGTAAACCTGCCCTGGTGGAGTGGAGAAGTTTGGTACCCAAAGTTCCAGATAGACAAAACCCTCACTATCTGCTTCTTCCCTCTGGCAGAAAGGAGCCCTTCCCGCCACCGCCATCCCACACAGAGGTGAGATCACCCGTCCCCAAGAAGGACCTTCTTTTATTGTAGCAGAACACCAACACTGAGCAGGTAGCAAACCACTGAAGATGTGGGCTCTGTGCTTGGAAATCACCAGTGAAGGTGTCCAAGCCCGTAAATGAGCTGTTTAACTGGCAGAGCCAGGCTGCCCAGAGACAACAATCCCCACTGCGCTGGCTTTGAACCTCTTGCATGGACTGCACCATCAAAGAACAACCTGCAATGGTGGTACAGCTCCTCACACCTCTCTCTGTGCTCTTCCCTTAAGGAAGCCCAAAGCACCAGCTACGGGATGTCACTCACTGCAGCTCGGGGGGGGATGAGGGGCTCAGCACCAGCGAGGGCAGACGGGACCCTTAGAGAGAGGTGGCACCCATGGCTGGTGGGATGAAGCTCCTGGCTTTCTTGGGCAAGATACAAGAGGAAAAGCACTGAGCCACAGAGTGCAAATGAGCTCTCCCAACCACACAACACAAAAATGGAGGAAAAACCTCCTCCAGCCCCTGGCACAGTGCTGCTGATGGCTTCAGAGCTGGGCTGGAGGAACATAAGATTGCTCCCCACCAGCTTCCCCCTGCAAGTCTGGCAACAGTAGAGTGCATTTTTGAAGAAGTCCTGCCAAGCCTCTGAACACATCCCAGTGGTTTTCTCAATGCTAGCGCACCTTTTCCATTCCATTTCATGCACGTTTCCAGGCTGCTGTCTGCAAGACAATACAGATGGGTTCTGGTGGCATAAAGGAGGGACCCACAAGGCTGGGAGATTTATTGGAGAGACAAGGTATGACCAAAGCTCAGCTGTACAACTCTGGTTGCTCCCTGGACCTGTGGAAACAGCTCCAGAAGTATTTTTTTCAGCAGAAAGGGCAATTTTTTTCAAAGTAGATTTTGAGATAACTATAAAAAGCAGCCACTTCCCCCATTCCCCTCCAGAACTGAAGCCATGCTCCAGCTATCGCTAAAGGAACATGACATAGAGCTAATTTGTAATTGATCATTTGTTTGGTCACATTAATTGATGCTGAGAACAGCTTTCCTGCAACCTTGCCCCGATAGCTCCTACCCCCTTGGGCATTACTAGAATAACCCCAACAACTGGTAAAGCATCTCTCCATCCCAAAATTATTCTTATCACATATTAAATACACAGTAACTAACCCCACGTTTGCAGCCTTAGAGCTCTTTGAGCACCACCCAAGTACTGCTTAGAGCTCAGGAGAGCCACGGGCATCAGGATTAGTGGTACTCCCTTTTTTCCCCAGGGGTAAAGTGACTTCCCAAGACATGTCCTTTTCCCAAGACCATCCCTCTGTGCAGTCCAGGGGCTCACCTGGCATCACAGCTGTCCTCCCCACTGCTGGCAGCCCAGCCCTGCTGCAGCAGAGCTCCACCATGGCCAGCCCTGGGGACATCAGTTGGAGAGACATTTTTCCACCATTTTTCTGCAAACGGGAGGAGAGTTTGGCCCCACCATTTCCCTGGGGCTGCCCAGCTCAGCCCCTGGTGTGCAGCAGGACATGGTGGCACCTCAACACTTCATCCCCAGCACAGACCTGTTTGCATCCAGAGACCATCTGCTCCGCAGGCAGCGCTTCCTCCTGGCCAGTCCCTCCTCCTGCTTTGCAGAACCTCTTATGCTCTCATCCTCACCAAGACCCCATCTCCATTTTCACTCCCTTTCACCAGGTGGTTAAGTCTTCATTACAAGGCAGCAGGGTTCGAGCACATGCTGGAGCTCACCAACCCATGGGATGCATCGTGGTGGGCAGCCAAAGCAGAACCACAAGCCCTGGGAGGATGCTGAGCACAGGTGATGGAGGCAGACACACAAACGTGGGCAGGATGTACCATCTGGATGTGAGCGATGCAGAGCAGAGGCCCAGAGCAGTAACCTTTGCAGGAGATAATCCCTTTGCCTGCTTTAAAAATTAAAGGTCATCTTAATAAGACACATTAGCTGCAATGCTATGTCCCGATTTGCCAATATTTACAGGCAAGACATGGGGGAGAGCCCAGGCTGGTGACTGCTTCTGGACATCCCACCAAGGTGGTTGAAGACCAGTGAGGGGAAACACAGGATGGGGACGGGGAGCAGAAGGCACCAGCAGCAAAGCCCAGTTAGGAAAACGTTGGGAATCACCAAACTAGACTGCAGTAAACAGAATGGGAACACCAGTACACCAGTCGCTACCAACAATCCTCATACACAAAATTAGGGGACAAAGTACAAAACCCTCAGGATTAACCTAAAAAAAGACAGTAAGATGATTATGTAGGAACCAAATTTAATTGTGCCCTTTATTTAAGTACTATAAAATAAAAATCCAATCCTATTGGCTTCCCAGAGGCATGTTCAGACTCCATAAAGCTCAAGGGAAAATATTGACTTGTATTTTGATGGATTGATGTCACTGGTTTTTACTCTCCCAGTGCAAGAGTGAAATTCCTGATTAAACACAGTCCGTACAGTCACCAGCTACTGAAATAGCTGCATTTGCCCTTTTAAGTGCAATCTCTCTTCTGTTGTCAGACTGTAGAGATGAAGCTTCTAATCCCAAGTTTAGAAGCAATCTATGGATAAAATAGCAGCATCAGCAGGTGCATAAAAATTACAGTCTTAAAGTAAAATTAAAAATTAAAGCCTTAAAAAACCAAAAGATCAAGTTTCGATCTCATTTGTGTTCTGTAGCCTTCCTTAGTCTAGAAACCCTCCACCAACATCTTCCATCTTGAGGAGCTCTCCCAAGTTTGGGTCATTTATCAGGATATTAAAGTTTAAAAGCATCAGGTACATAATTTTCAAAGAGCTAAGAAATGAGTGAGGGAAAGCAAGTCGCCCTTAAATAAAATAAACCCACCACTTTTCCCCTTTGAGAAGCAGGTCCCTGCACACGGGACCGGGTGCAATCCCAGCTCTCCAGGGAGAGCACACTTGGTGCATTAAAGCCTTTCCATGTAACAGCGTATCCCAGTGCTCCAGATCTCCACCACCTTCAGAAGCTCATCACACATTACAGAGAATATCATGTGGTTTTTCTGTTTCACAAGACTGCCCCGACTGAAGCCATCGGTGCCGGCAGGATTTACACTGTGCAAAACTGAGGGATAAGAACAGCAGGGAAAAGGAAAGAAAGGCATAGAGTGACAGTGCTCACTCCAAAAGGAAGACCCCATCCTCATTTAACTGATATCCACAGGAATTTTTCTGCCAGCTCCAACAGGAACAGGATGTGTCCTGGTATACAGAAGTGCTTTACCTGTGCATTAAATAAAACATAAGACCTGTCTCTGATGTAATTTTTCTTCCCTCCCCAATGCTTGAAATAGAGAATGGAAAAAAAGGAAAAAGTCTCTGGGGTGAACGAACCCACGAGACAACGTTTGGTTTGCTGCGTTACAAATAAAACCCACATTCATCGGCCAAGACACCCAACTACGAAGCCCACACGTGAAGCACAAGTGGAGAGCAAGGCACACACGGAGGAGCGCAGACACCTCGCGCGAGGAACGCAGCCTCACGAGGCTGAGCCAGCCCTCTGCCAGCCACGCTGCCCGAGGACTCGCTCTTCTCCTTGTTGCTGCTCTGTTCCTCCTTTCTCATTGTCTGGGTTGGTCTGTTTTGGGGGTTTTGTCGTTGGTTTTTGTATTTTTTAAATTTGCAGGCCCCGGACTTGGCGATGAGGGCAGATGTGTGCTAGACAACACCACGATGGGTACAACAGCAGCAGCACGTGAGCGACCAGCCTGCGACAGCCAGGCAGCTTCAGGATGTAGCTTCATCTTCACACACGTCGGGCAGCTCCGGGTCCCTGCCTCCTTCTCTGCTCCCTTGTTTTCTACGGGAATGGCAAGGAAATAAAGAGATTATAGGCACATAGCAATACAAGACAGAAAGCAGGCGGTGTTTTTTCCAACAGGCAACTCAGGTCAACAACTTCAGTACTAAGAGGGAATAGCAGAGAACCAGCCTGTTGTGCTGGACCCACATAAACAGCCCAGCTCGATGTGCTGCCATGCTGTGCAGCTTGTGCCTACACACTTGCTTGGTCTCCACACCCCGTGGATGAGCTTTGCACTTCCTGAGGGCCCTTCTCCTGGCTGCAGCGTCACAGAGTTATCTGGTTCTTGGAGAAAGTCTTGCAGACTATCAGCAATGCTTCCAAATTATCTGGTTTGTATTTTGGGAGTTCTGGTTTCCTTTTCTTTAATTTTTTTTTTAAAAGATCAGAGTGATAGCTTCGTACCATAACTGCATCTCCAGAGCTCTGCTCTAAAAGACAATAAAAACTGAACTCTTCTACCAGAACCTAGTTTGCCCTAGCTCAACAGCTTTTTGATTTCAGTTTCTGTGAGTCCAGTCCCCAAAATTGCTCAGCACGTGAGAGCAGCAGTCCCTAAAACATGGCCAAGGTAACTTTCTTGCATTGTATGTACACCACGATAGCTTCAAGCCTGCCCCCCTGCTCTTAGTTTTCAGTGTCCTCCTACGTAGAAGGCTTGAGCTTTGCTGTGGTGGGATGGGACAGAAGTGGGACAGGACACCTACCTCTGCCACTGGGGAGGCAGTGTGGGTTTGGGGGTCTTGGAAAGACACTGGAAGTACACATAGGGCTGTGCCAATTTTCAAAGAAACCAGAAAAGATCAAAATCATGTTCCCTTCCCCATCTGCTCCAGCAAAGCCTGGCAATAAACCTGACCTTGAACCTGGAGCATGGACCATTTCCTTAGGGAGGCAACTTGAGGAACAGCCCCGTCTTTGGTTCCTGTCATCACCCTCTTTAAACGATTTATCACCCTGTGAAGGAGCAGAGGCTCCTTTCTCAGCACAGCACAGCTCCCTGCCTGCAGCTGCCTGGCGAGTCCTGGTGAGCCTGCCCTGTGCCCAGGGTGTGTTCAGAGCTCCCCGAGCATCCTCTGCCTCTCCAAATGCCTTGTGACAACATGGGAGAGGTGCAACACAAATCAGATTGACCTGCCAGTCGTGCAGGGTGGTGAATATCAACTAAATTCGAGTTACATGCACGGCAGCTGAGATCAAGGCATCAGCACTCTGCAGTCTGCAAGGGAGCCAGGGCTCGTGCTGTGAGGCCTGAGGCTGAACGTGAATCTCCATTAACTAACTCTTTTTAAGAAATAAGATTGTTCCTGCTACATTTGTTTAAGCCCCAGGGGAGTGAAGCCTGACCCACGCAATTATCCAAGAGACCACGTTGCTGTTAACCACGGTGGCTGCAGGAAGATCACACTGGGTATTTACACCATGTTTCATGCCCAGCAAGGAACGAGCCTCACAGCACTTCCCATCACAGGCAGCACAGGACAGGGATGGAGTGGGACAACCTACAAAGAGCTGAATTACATCATATACACACACACACTCCTGGTCTGAATTCATCCACCGAGTTCCCATTTAATACCAATAATCTGCCCTCGTCTAGGCTGGTGATGTCCCCTTCCTCTCTGCCTAGGACACAGGGAAACCAGCCACGTGCAGGCTGTGCAGTCCCTCCTGACATACATCCTGAAAGAAAAAGGGCCATTCCTCATGAGGAGTTCTCTATGAAAAAAAAAGTAGTGGCAGGCAGTGGCACCAGCTGTCTCCAACAGCACCACGTCTGTCCCCATCCTCCTCCAACTGCCTTCTCCTAACTATTTTTGGAGGATCTCTGCAAGTCCTTTCTCACTGGGGAAAGGAGGATATTCACTGTGGGAGTGGTGGGGCAGCCACAGCAGAGAAGGCTCCAGCTCTATTTCTTTTGCATAACCACTAAATATTAAACCTGAGCCCAAATGACAAAGTTCAGCCTCAGCCTTTCCCAAATTCTGTGGTTCTTCCTCTGCAAACATGGGGCTGAGCAGCAATTCTTGCTAAAACCCAACTGTTTTTTTTCAGCCTCTCCCTACAAAAAAAAAAAAAGGCTGAAATACCAAAGAACCACAAATAATAATAATAATTTAAAAAGTATATAGAAACATTAGTGCCACACACATAGAATTACTGCAGTAAAATTGCTCCTACAGGAAGGAAGGATGGAGCTAAATGCTCTCACTACCACACAAATCACACAGGCTGAGGAGAGGACACACATTTCTACAGCACCCAGGGGAAACACAAACACCGAATTACCTTAAAGACGGATGCAAATATACAGATGTGTTTAAGAGCCTGTCCCTGAGAGCAAAACAATGAGACAAAGGAAGAAAGTGATCATGAAGATGATGGCAGCAGGCAAAGGAGTTTGCATTTCTGTACCTAACAAGCAGAGTGAAATGGAGGAAGGAGCAGTAGTCACATTTAGTTGCAGCTTGAAGGACAGATGAAGACAGGCACTGGTAGCACTGGTACAAACCCACTCCAGCCCCTACTCCTGCTGAAAACTCCAGCTTCCAGGCCTTGTCCAGCTTCCTGGGCCTTGCCATTTGGCACCTCTGGGGGTTTTGTGTCCTATCACAGTTATGGCATCACCACCACGTGCCATGGGATGTGCAGCAGCTGTGCTCAGCACAGGCAGAGCCACACGAGCACGGGGCCACCCATCGGAGGGCTCAGCTGAAGGTGGGTCTTTGCCAGGGAAAATCCTGTGCCACAGTCAGTGCCTTGGTCCTTAGACTATAAAGATACCTACTCGCACCATGAGGCATGATTCATCCCAGGAGACACACAGTTCTCTCTTTGCAGTGAAAATTGATATGATTTTTTGGACTGTGTTCTGACAGCATCTACGTGGTCCTATCAAAAAAATCTTCCTGGGACTGGAAATACAGGCACCAAGCACTAGCAGAGACCAAGGGAGCATCTTTAGAGGAAACAACTGGCAAATTTAAACCCAACCTGCAGCTGTTCCCTTGTCACAGATGGTGCTGTAAACCCAGCTGCCCCAGGGGGATCTCTGCAGCCTGTTTTTGAGCAGCCCTATAGCACCATGCCCCTGGGACTCTCTCAGCACAAAGTCCCCAGAGGCAAGTACCTCTCTGCTGCTTTGGGAGAAGCTCCTTCTGCTTGGAGACCTGGGTCAGCCACTTTTTTACCTCCCTCTCCCTCCCTGGCTTTCTCATGCATAGCCTACACAGACAGTATGGCCCTAAGGGCAGTGACGGCTCTTTTGCTCTCTTTTTGGGAAGGCTGGAAGGAGGGTAGGCTTTCTATACACAGACTGATCCCCCGTACAGGAGCTGACAACCACATTTCATCAATAGTAATAGCAGCCATAATGGGAAAGTAAATTGGGTCTGTCAAAACACAGCAATTAATTTGATAGGTAGTAGTTGCAATAAATGAGAGTAATAAAATGTGGTGAAGCCAGTGCTGACTCAATTAGGAGCAACCTGGAGCAGGCAGAAGGAATGTAGCAAACACTGCTAACAAACCCAGAACTTAGCTGTGAACGCTAAACAGCTAGGTTTAAAAATTATTCTGCAACATTAGAGATGCTCAGTTGTTTCTGCAGCCACCTGCATCTTCTGGGAGATCCTGCACAGAAGGGCAGGATCCGGTGCCACCTGGATGCTTGGCCCTGGCTACCACACAGCTCATGGGGTGACATGACAGCCAGCAGCACTCACACCCCTTCTAGGTGTGCAGAGATGCTACTTGTAGGAGAGGCAGCTGCTGCAAACCAAGAATTACTAAATATTATCTTCATTTTAATTCCCTTCAATCTAGTGAATGTACCTGCCATTTTAACAGCCGCCTTTTTAACTTTTCAATGCTACTAAACAAAGCAATAAATAAACCCAGGAGATGATTTGCTACTTCCAGGTCTAAGAAGTGCTAAAGAAGCCCTTTCTCCTCCAAGTACTAATTTAAGAACTATTTCAAATCACTGGTGTCTTGATGGTGTCCTCCAAAGGAACAAAGGCTGCGGCAAACATGAAAGACCTCCTGCTATCACAAAGACTTCTGCAGGAAGCATTTCCAAGAACAGAGCCCAGCACACTGTGTACAGGTACTGCAGGGAGAAAGTAAAAAAAAAAGAACCACCACAAACAAATCAGAACACACTACATGATTTACACTTTCCTCCTCCCCAAATCTCAAAAAAAAATGAGCTGTTAAACTGGCTCCCTTCTCTTCCTATTTTCTTAAAGGACAGATCCATTTTAAGGATCATCAATTAGGCATCAAATACCAGGAAGACTCAGCTGTCAGAGGATTTCCTGCAAAATACATTCTCAGTATGGGCACAGATGTAAGATGCTCGAAGCAGCAGCGAGTGGAGCTCTGGCAATTTCACATACAGCTAAAATAAATAGAGTGCAACACTGGAGTTTTCTAATTGCTTTTTTTTTTCTTATATAGAAACACAAGAAGTTATTTTCTACCTGTAACTGGAAGGCGATGCAATACTACAAGAGCAATATCACCTCTCTGTAAATACACTGTAACTGGGGAGGAGAAGCTCTGTGGTGGAGAGCTTGGGAACTTGGCAAGTGGCTCATGTTTCCATGGCTCCTTGTGAGCAACCACACAGTGGCACGTCCAGAAAGCAGCAGTGGCTGCTGACACTGCCCTTCTAGCAAGTCCCACTTCTGGGGTGCCACGTCCAGCTACTGGGGTGGAAACGACGCCTGACAGGCAGGAAATCCACAGAGCCTTTATGCTACAACAATATTATCTGTTCCTGCTAAGCCCTAGAAATTTATAGTCATCCAGACCCACTCAAAACTTATTTTAACTAACGCAGCGCTATTCATAATATTTGCACTGATGTTGTATTTTATGTGTGTATTAAGGTGGTTTTACTGCCGAACAACCCGCTATGAATTAAGAACTGGATGGGCTTCGTGTCTAGCTCTGTTTGTGCCTGTGGAAATAGCACTGTAATCAAGAGATAACTCACTGAACAATGAACATTCCCATTTACACTCAGTTCACTTAAAATCAATGCATTAGTTTCGACAAATCTATTTAAATTTAAAGCCATTTCCATTATATTCAACTGGTATGGCATTTTTAAAAGTTTGAAGTGCAGTGAGACTCTTAGCACACCCTCAGGAGTCTGCTAGGCATGGTACTGGGATTTGGGGTGGAAAAGGATCATTTTGGGACAACACAGCATTGTTGTGAAGCATAGCCATACAGATCCTGTGGGGTAGGAATGTGAAAATAATTGTGCCAGGTCAGGCTAATTGTCCAGATGTAACCTACTGGACTGATGGCCCAGAATCCTGCCTCTGAAAGGGATCAGTAACAAAAACGAGGGAGAAAGAGTAAGAATCAAGTAAAGGACAGAGAAATCCTCCCCGACCTCTGTACATCCAGACCACTGCGTTTTAAAATTGCTGATGAACCTAATCGTCATTAATTTGTCTATTCCTTTCTTAATGCCAATATAGCCATTTATATCCAGCCTCCAAAATAACCTGTTACAATATGTTCCACTATTTCATAACTGGCAGTGTGAAAAATACTGCATGTTTTCTTAAATGAAAAAGCAATGTTAAAGTGTTCTCCACTGTCTGCCCATCTGTCTCCAAGGTGTCTCTGCCCAGACTTGGGCCCCAGACCACATCATCTGATTTTGAGTTTATAAAACATACAAAACTGCTCATCTGGCACCTTTCTGTTGTCCATAAAAAGGAAAGAAGAATTAAACCCTCCAACACATATCTAGACTAGACTCTAACTTATTTTAGATCACCAATCTCTAATGGATCTTTGATTACAACATATTATAAACAAACAGGTTAAAAACCAGACCCAAGTTTAGCACCTTACATGTGTTTAGGCCAAACCCATCTTACAGAGAGAACTGCATCTATAAAAAGAGCTTTTAGGCTGCTTTAATGCATTGTATTTTAATCCTAGAGGACTTGAAGTAGATTTTATCTTCAGTGTTTGATTTAGAAGGGAGGTTTTTTTTTTCTTTAAATCCTACAGAGACTTGCAAACTGCTTCCTTCATTCTCCCCACATACCTTTACTCTGCACGTTTCACAGAGCCAGGCAAGGCTGTATATACGTACATCAGCAAGTTCCCTGGAGCAGACATGGACCTCTCCTCCCGCCTCGTCTGAGCCTCAAATGGATTTCCAAAGGAGCGTTTTCTTAGCATGGCCTTCACTAGGATCTTTGAGGAAGAAAAACAGACTGGTGAGAATAGCAGGATGACTGACTCCTTAAAGCTAGTTTGAAGGAGTCTAACAACAGCTTCTTTAATAATTCAGACATTTAACAGCATTACAGCTAGAGCATGAACTAAAGGAACCCACAGAACAGCTGACTTCCAGGCAGTGACACCGCCACTCCCTTGGGCAGTGAGCTCAGACCCCTGGATACACACAAAGACATGATGAGCACTGCCTGCCACTCATGGTGGTCCAAGGCAGTGATAAAGTGGCACCAGAGCTCTCCTGGGCCATCCTCCCAGGCAGACACCGTGCAGAGAGTGCCACCAGCTCCTACGGGTGCAAAGGCAAAGGTTCTGCTGTCAGGGGAAAGGAGGGTTTTCACTCCCTGAGCTGGCTGTTGGGGCAAGCGTCTACAGCATCACACCACAAGAGCTTTGAAAAATGGTTCCTCATTGTGCTCAGCATCCCTCTCCCTGGTACAAGGAACCCCCAAAGACAGTTACATCATAGTAACTGCCTAGAGCAGACCTCCATTTGGCTACACACAAACTGCTGAGAGAGCCCTGAACACCAACTTTTGGCCCCCCAGGGCTGGCAGGCAAGTGCCAGCCATATACTTCATTGGTCTTCTCCTTGCTTCTCCGGCCAGGTCACCTCCAGGTTTGGAGCCTTCATTCTGAGGTCTTGCAACCTCTACATTAATGAAACAAAACACCCTTGGGATGCTTCTGGTGTCCTGGGATGTCTGGTCCCAGACACTTTAAGCTCAACGTGCTTGATGTGTGACCCTACAGCTCTTAAGAGAGCAGCCAGCCAGATATGAACAGGACCACTTACACTGCCAGACCCTGCAGTAGTCAGACACAGAGACTTCACACTGGGTTGAAAGGCCAGTTTTCTCATGCCAGGAGCACACGTGTACCCTTCTCCAAACTTCCTTCACCAGCTGAAAGCTTCAGCAAAGTACCGCACTCTTGACCCATTCAGAGGATGTGGTTGTGGTTTATACATACCACAGCTGGCAAACTTGGAATAGTCTTCACAGAGTTCTTCACCTCCTCCTCTGTCACCTCCACCACAGTACAGTGCTCTTCCTCCAGTGGCAGGGGCTCCTCGCCATCCTTCGTTAGCCACGGATGCACCTGTGTGGGGAGGAACACAGACAGCTGTAGCTCTCCCTCCTACAGTCAGCGATAAGAGAGAAATGGGGCACAGGACTGATTATGGGGGTAAGCTGTTGGTACTGCTCCATTTTCCACTTCCAGCAATGCACCTCAACCCTTGGAAATGACTGCATTAGATGCTGACAGAAACAGATGTGCTGCCTTGAGTCTGTTGACCACACAAGCACCAGAGGAGGAACATACTTCTAGCCCCTGTAACACAAGTCCAATGCTGACAGCACAGGCTCTGCAGCTACCAGTCCCCACGAAAATGTCAATTCTCTCAGGGATTTGCCAAAGATCAGCCAGCTTTTGAGTAATTTTAATTTAAATAAGTAAACAAGAAAGCTTTTGTCAATATTCCCCGAGCAAGCAGCAGCGACAGAGCTGTTAGACGCTGCAAAATGAGCACTCTCCCTTTCCGAGGCGTTATGCCAGAGAGAGCTCCCAAAACAAACAATGGGAGCAGCTCTGCCTCATTAGAGGGTACCAAAGGAACAACAAAGTCATCTGAGACAAAAGACTATAATATCCATGTCCAATTTACCTTAATTTCAGGGACTGTTATCCTTGTTTCTGGATTTTTATCGAGCATGCGTAGGATGAGTTCCTTCAGCTCTTCGCTTATCTGTGCTCTGAGTAAAGAAAATTGCAAGTATACAGTTAACAGGGCAATTGTAAGTGCTCAAGGCATGAACAGTCCTTACTGTGGTTACTTGGCAGAGAATCTGCTCCACTGAGAAGATATTTTCTCTGCAAACCCAGCTTGTTAAAGGAAGATCTAGTTCTCTTGGCTCCTTCTCAGGCATCGCGGTCACTGCTACAGGCTTTGGTTATCCTGCTCTGCCCACTAACACCGCTCCACGCTCGCAAAATGCAGCACAAGGGACCAGGCAAATGGATTGCAAGACATTTTTAAAACCAACATGTTATAGGGGACTTTCAGAGGACTGATTTTGGGACACCACTGCATTATTGAGGACAGAACTGGAGCTGGGCTCTATGATACAAGAGCACAACCTGATATGCAGAACCTGCAGCATAAACAACCACGCGCTGGATGAAACGTCCCCATTTGATATTCAGGTTCCCACCTAAACTTACAGGTTGTGTTAAATTGCTTCCATGAACACTCATGGCAGCCAGTTTGGTAACTCAGTATTTTCTACTTGTGTAGGTCAGCTTTGGGGTAATAAAAGGAAGGAATGACTAAAAGAAATGCATCTGCCTGAAGCAAGAAACCACCCTATTCACACAGAGCTCTTGGTCCTGCAGTCTGTCCCTCTACATCAAAGGCTTCAATGACTTCTGTTGCTAATGGTGCAGGCAAGGTCTTTAAAATACACTTGATCTGTATGATCAAAGTGCTACTGAAATAAAATGCCAGCGTATGACAGAATCGCATTAAGCAGTTGAAAGTCTGTATCGCAAATGACTTTTGAGGAGCTGCATTTCTCCACAGAGATGGAATTTGGCAGCATAAAATGTCACTCCCCAGCAGGGCTGGATTTCAGACAGAAAACACTGATGAAGACCAGGTGCCCTCCTCCTCTGCACTCCCCGCAAGCAGAGGATGGAATAAACTATCATAAACCTAAATGACCACATCACAGTGAGGGATATTATAGTCTGATGAAAACAGAGCTGCTGTTTAATAATTTATGAACACTTTATGTGGACCTTGGTTACGGGATCTTAAACAACCACAAGGAAACACCGCTCATTCAGTGGGAAGGGGCAGAAAGTGGGTTCAGTTTATAAGTCTGAACACTTTCAGAGCTTCATCAAGGGTCTGCAGAACACAGGCAATGTGGCCTGGACAAGGGCTGCAGGATGAGTCCCTCAGGGACTTCCCAATTCCCAGGTTGCACCGCAGGTGACAATTCAGTTGGGAATGGGAAGAAGGGTGTTGCTCTTGAGGCGAGCTCCAGGCAAAGCTATTTTTGCTTCTTCTGCCGTGGTGCACATTGTACCCGATGGCATTTTTCATCTGAAAAGCCTGTGCTATCTGGAATTTCTCACAGTGATAGTCCTGTAACAGCTCTCAGGAAAAAGCCAAGCATCACAGAGCTCAGCACCCATTCGGGAGGGCTGCCAGCACCATAGATCATTTTACAGGGTGCCCGCAGGTCAGAGAACATTGTCCTGAGCTTCAGCTCTTCACCAGGAGGGACAATGCAGAGCTTCTGTCTCTCTTAATACAAGTTTGGACAGAAATTTCTCCAGCTTGCTTTTTTAGTCATGCCAGGATCACCAGGGTGTGAGCTGTCCCCCTTTACCTTGTGTCAAACTAAGGACTCATTGACATGAGTAAGAACTCCAGAGCGATAAATATTTATCCCAGTGTCTCTAAGGGAAGGGAAGGGACAACAACGCTGGTACAGTCAGCTCCATCTCTGTCTTAAAGGTTGTCAGGAAACAGGCAGTGAGTTTCCATGGCCTGTCTGCAAAGAGGAATGTGTCTTTTGTAGCCATGGTGAAACAAATTGAAACCAAAATATTCCTAACTGTAGCGAGGTGCTAATTCTGTGGGAGGTCAGGGTGGATCCAGTCCAGTGAATTCCAGCTTTATGTTCGTCTCTGTAACTGCCTTTATCTAGCAAATAGATGTAGTTGAGACAGCCGTCAACACCCAGTAACTCTCTGCTCCTCCAATAACCTAACGAGGGGTACAGCTTTTTTTAGACTGGGAGAGGTCACCGAAAAATCCAAATAAATCATGCAGCCCAATTATCGCTGAAGGAAGTGTCTGAATGAAGAACAGGTTCTTAGCACAACCCAGTTAGCCCATTAAACCTTAATAACTTACTGCAGAGACAGATGGGAACAGTCACTGGTAAGCTGACTGCTAACCCAAATATATGATGGCTGAGAGAGGACGGGCACTTTGCCAGGACCCAAGCAAGCAGGGAGAAGGCTGCCAGAGAAACATAAACAATTTTTCTTTTTTTTCCCCTGCTGCAGTGCTGTCAAGACAAAGTCCTGCCCTGACCACAGAGCAACTGGTGGGAAAACAGCCGTGTGGCATGATCAACCTTCCTGCTCTTAATGTCTAAGGCCTGGTTGGCTGTAAGGGGGCTGGCTTGGCAGAATTGCTCTACACCCACGACTGGGGCCCCTGGTTGCCATCAAACAGGTGGTCTGACCTTGTGGCTGTTGGTCCTTAGGAGGTGCACTCCACACAGTCCTTGGTGCTCCACCAGCCTGAGCAGAAATGGCTCCATCTGAGCTATCTGCAGTGGCTGTGGTTCACAGTCAATGGAGAGGTAATTAATGCAGCCCATGGAGCTTGGGGCATGAGTCATCTCGTCTAATGCAGATGTCTAAAATAGGACAGCCTGAGTACCCACTGCTTTCTGCAAACTCAGGAGGAAGCCTGGGACTGCCAAGGCAGAGGCTCAACCCTTCGCTGTAGGTGTCCAAAAATTCAGTGAGCATCTCCCCAAAACAATAATAATTCATGTATAAATGGTGGATACACGCGCCTATCACCAGCTGCCTGACAACATCCCTCCCTTCCCCTCTAATATCAGATGTGCCTTTCATTAGAGTTTTAATGTCTTCATGCTTGTTTTAAATCAAGTCATTTTATCTCTCCGTTTTTATTAGAATGAGCAATTGGGTCAAGAAGGTTAAAAATTCTTTGCTTCACTACTGTGCTGATTTTGGAAGGAAAATAAGGAGTCCAACTTCAGCTACTTTATCTGGTAACAACCAGGAGAAACAAATTAATCACCACCAGAAAGTCACCAGAGGCCTGAAGACAGAGGAAATGCTGAGGAGTGGCCAGTACATGAAGGGACAGGCCTGGTGGCTCAGTGGAAGAGACCGAGGACACATTGAGTGTAATCATCTCCTGCCAGCCTCACCTGACCAGACCACCAGCACTCATCACTCAGTGCTTTGACACTGAACTTCCCACTGCTCAGGTGGCACGTGAGTGGCCTTGCCTTGTCCCCCTGCAGCAGTGAGTGCTCTGGTGTGGGTTAGAGGACACACTGTGACTACAGCTGGCCATCCCACCTACCACAGCCCAGCATCTCCACCAGGCAGCTCTGACTGTGGCCAACGTGGGTTTCCTTCACTGACCAAAGAGGAGGGCAGCTTCTCAATATCAGAGAAATTAATTTCTGGTTTTTTCATAAGTAGTCCCAGTCTGCCAACACACAAGAAAAAGCCACATTTTTCTGGAGTGTGTTGAAGGAGACAGAGGGGAGATGCACCAGGCTGTGGTTGTGTATCACAGGACGAGCCTCCTTGGGTGAGAGACTTCCCCAGCTCCAAGATAAGTCCATGGAAGTGGCATGTGTTTACTTAGACTGAGCTCTACAAACCACACTGCTTTTGAAAATTCATTGAATTATTCCAGTGGCTACCACATGGGAGAAAAACAAAACCCCAACCAAACCATGCTTCCAGCATCTCCAGGGTCAAGTAACTGGGGCAGAACTCGCTAGGCCCGTCCCAAAACCCCTCCACTTCCAAAGATTTCAGGAGCTTTTTCCTTTAGCCCCTGTCTCCACAACACGGACATAGAAGCAGCAGAGGCAGCTGTAATGCTTGGACAACATTTGCAGAAAACCCAAAAGAAGGGCCTCACCTGCCCTTGTCTGTCCCTCCGTGGTGACCTACCAGCATTTATGTTGCACGGTGAATAACTTTGAAAAGTGAACTTTATTTTACAGTAGTTGAGTAAAGTTTACTTACTCTTCTGGGAACTCTACAGGCTTGTTCTTGATCCTGTTATGAAGACCCAGAATATATTCATCTATAAAAGGGCACTGTAAAACAAACAGAAGATTTTCCAGTTGTCAGATCTTGGCACTGCTTAGGCGTTTGTCATTCACGTAACAGAAAGTTTACTCTCTCTGAAAAATGGAGATCCTCATACTGGCTGGCTTGTATCACTGCTTTGAGGTCTCTGTGTGACGAACATCATTTGGAGCTGGCTATTACTATTAAAATACCTGTTTTTCTATTGTAGATCCAGATATACAGATTCAACACATACTTCTCTTCAGCACAACTTTTTATTCGGGATTCATTTAGACCCAGATTCTGGCTCTTCCTACGTGGCAGGGCAGGCAAGGTGACAGGTGGTAACTGAGTGGTGGTGAATGCTGTGGAGGATGCAAAAGCAGCACATTCACAGGCCCTGTCAACATCTGCAGCAAAACTGAAGGAGCAGGTACACTTGTTTTAGTGGGTCATGGATTGCTGGTGGGCCCTGTCCCAGCCTGTCTGGCCAGATTAAATAATGAAATATAAAATAGGTACAAACTGTACAATATTAACTGTAGAGGGACACATGGAACAGACAAATGTGTCCTTAGGCTTGTCTTTATATTCCCTTTTTCTTTCCTCCAGTGCTGCCACAGAGGGAAGTAATATCACCATGAGGTTACACCCTTTCACTTGAGGATTTGGCCCAAATGAGACATCGCTATAGATACAAGTCAGAGAGTATTTTCCATTCTGACTTAGGTCAGCAGTATCACACCAGCAATAGAGATAGTTCTGCCACCTCCACCAGCCACCTCTTTCCCCTGAGCTGGATGCCTTATGCCTGCAGGGTGAGATCTGCAGTGGTCTGTGCTCAGACAGGAGGTTCAGGATAACATCCTGCACACAGACCACATGTACCTGCTGTACTGCTTCCCCTGGGAGAGCATGGGTGGGACAAGGGGTTTCTGGCGACAGGAGAGAGAAGAGTCATGACAGGACATGGAGTTTGCAGAAGGCAGCTCTGAAGAACTGGCTCTGCCAAAGTGGTCTCCATTTGGCCCAGCTCAGCTCTGCCAGACAAAAGTTTTCTGTAATCTGGTTTCCTAAAGTGCTGCAGTGGCTTGGGATCAAACCCATGCCTCTCTCCAGGCTCTATCTGGCTTGTTTCTAAATACAGGCAATATGGATAACCCCTTGACAAACCACTGTTGGTGCTGCTGATGCTGCTGTGGGTTTGTAGCACAAACAACTACTCTGAGTATAGTGGCCAACTCTAAAACCCATCCTTTCCACAGATCACAATATCAGCCCCTTCTCAACCACAGGGTGATTTGAGAAAATGGGAGCTTGCGGAAGATAAGTCTTTGTTTCTAATATTTGCCTTTATTTGGAAAGGAATGAGTCAAAAGTGATGCAGGCAGACACTTCTATGCAGAGGTCCAGAGCCTGAAAGCCAGCTTACCTTCCCGTAAACAAAGCAGTACAGGGTAATTCCCATGGCCCATACATCAAGTGCCTGAAAAAAAGAATGTGCAGGCAGTAAATGAGATGTAAAACAGATGATCTGAATGAGCTAGACTTTCCCACTCATTCACAGAACATTATTTGTAGGCATTTAATATTTTCTGTTTTACTGTGCAGAGCCTCTCTGAAGTTGGGCTCCTGAAGGCATCTGTAGCACGCCTGGGGAATGAGGACTGTGCTGGGCCAGACGTCGCCTCCCTTGTCATTGCTGTGGAGCGCAGTGACCAGCAAAGCAGCCCTTTTTTCTGACAGCAGATGACATCACTCAGTGCTGAGCCTCAAAAGTCTTTTCCAGGCACAAAAACCCCATTAGATCCTATTATGTGTTATGGCGCTCAGCAGTGCCTCCCACTTTCAGGGGATCAAGATATGATCTCGGTGCCCAGTAGCCCCCGGTGCCTCTTGATTATTTTGGAAGGGAATCAAGAGTTTCCTCCTTTCCCTTTGGGCAGGAAAAGGGCTCTAACACAGCTCCCTTCTGGGCAGGGATCCACAGAGTCTGTCTGCCCACTGCAGGGAACAACCAATGTGAGCTTTGCCTGGACTGGACACAGAATCAGAGCTTTAGTTTTACTTAAAAACCACCCCAAACTCCACCCCAGTCCCCGGGTGGGCAACACACAAAGGATGCGAGTGTGGTGCTGCCCTTTGTGCTATGGCTGGGGGTCCCACAAGATTGTGAGAAAAGACCTACCTTTCCACTGAAACTTTTGCCAGTGTCTGAAATGGCCTCTGGTGCCATGAATGCTGGTGTCCCTGCCGTGCTGGAAAGCTGGGCATCGTTCCCTTCAAACTGATTGCTGACTCCAAAATCAGCAATTTTGACATGTCCATCGTCTCCTAAGAGCAAGTTGGAAGGCTTGATGTCCCGGTGAATGATCTTCTGGTAGTGCACTGGAAAAACAAACAAAAAAAGGAACATGATTTGCCACAGCTGCCAATGCATCCAGGGGGAACCTCTCCAGGAGGATGAAAATAAAGGTGCAAGCTCAGGCACCCCTTTCCTGCTTTACAGACATGGTCAACACATTGCCACAAGAGCAGGCTGCCCTATGGCACATCCCAGCTTGTGTTTTAGGATCAAGAAAGAACAAACTTCATGTAACTGTTCTGCTCTTTTCAAGCAGGCCATGTCTGCGGAGGGGAAGTCACCCTTGTAGACATTTTTTAGAATCATAGAATGGTTAGAGTTGGAAGGGACCTTAAAAAGATCAAGTTCCAACCCCCCTGCCCTGGGCAGAGACATCTCCCACTACAGCAGGTTGCTCCAAGCCCCCTCCAGCCTGGTCTTAAACCCCTCCAGGGATGGGGCAGCCACAGCTTCTCTGGGCAACCTGGGCCAGTATCTCATCACTCTCACAGCAAAGAATTTTCTAGCATCTAATCTAAATCTCCCCTCTTTCAATTTAAAACTATTACCCCTCGTCCTATCACTACATTCCCAGGCCCTTTTTTCTGCAAGGACATCTCCTTAGTTTCAAGCAGTGCCGGGGCAAGATGTCCTTGGGACATTAAAAAGCTGATCTGGAGACCAGAGACACAAGCCCACTGGAGAGCACTGGTGCTTACATCCTCTTCCAGATGTGCAGCAACTGCGTGGCCGCACTGTGATGCGAGCCAGTTAAGGCTGTAACAGCCCAGCTAGACAGTCAGGATAAACACTGAAAACCCTGCAACAACAATAATTACGAGAAGACATCTGTTCCGCAGCAAAGCTGGTGGGGCAAGCTGACATTTCATTATGGTAATATAGGGAGAGCAAAAGAAAAAAGCGAGGCAGGGATGAAGTTTCCCTTCAGGGGCTGAGCTGCCTTTCAGGCAGGTGTCTGGTATCATGCCCGACACCACAAGGCTAAGATTCCCAATGCCTCAAAAAAAAAATAAATACAGGCCACAAATATACATGGGCCACACAAGTACATCCCTGGAGCTACAGCTGTGAAAATTGAAGGAGTTACACTAGGCAAGCAGGTATGCTACAGTTTTTATTATTTCTTCTGTAAAGGAAAGAAAAAATAACCCCCAACAAAACCACACACCAATTCCCGTATCAAATAACTATTAATCTTGTAAAAGACATTCCCTGCCTTTGCACAATCTAATAAAAGTAGAGGAAAAACACGGGCCATTTGCCAGATGCTCTGTGTTTGTTCAGTGCCCGTCTCAGCCTGGTACCCAGCAGGTCTGGGCACTGCTGGTTGTTAAGCACAGGAGAAATATGAACATTGAACAAAGAAATAAAATACATTCATCCCCAAAATTAAAGCCATCAAACACTAGGGTCAATGAACATTTGTGCCTCCCAGACCAGAACATCCACGTGCTTGACGTGTTAAGGACAGTGACAGTCTGACCTCGACTGCTCAGAGGAAAAAATTAGCACAAGTGCCTGTGGGTCAGGGGAGCAGAGGCTGAGCTTTCAGAGTGAGCCTGACACGTCCCAGCGCTTCGCAGCGCAGTGTCAGCCAGGGGTGTCTGCAAACCTGGCCCACGATTCAAATAATAACAAACTGGGATGGCAAGGAGATGGGCACAGGGGGAAAGTGGCCGGTCAGACCAGGAGTGGTGGTGCTGAGAGCAGCATCCAACCCATACATCGTGCTACTTCACTATACTGTTTAGGTGACAGTAATGAAAATCTTGTGCCAGCTGGCTCAAAAACTTATGCTATCTGCAAATCCTCTCCCCTATGCAGCTGCCTTGTGCAGAGGCAATAGCCATGAGGGGAGAAGGACAGGAGACAGGAATTGTGCACCAAGCACCAGATGGTGTAAGTGAACAAGGCTCCATCACAGCTATAAAACTTACAAGAGCAAGTAATTGTTTCTTGGCAGATGTGATTTGGTGTGGAGATGCTAACCTGACAAAAGCAACCTGAAATCCCTTTTCTGCTTTGGAGAAATAGAATTCTTAAAGTCCCAGTCTGCCAGCTGATGTGGGCATCCTCCCCTACACAGCTATCCAAAATGGGCTTTGCCTTCAAAATGCACCATCTTAATCCTCTCCTGCACTGTGCCTTGCACTGGTACAGCCCAGTACAACACAGGGCTGAAGAAATAAGAGTAAAAGATTCCCCCAAAATCATTCCCAAGACCATTTGTAGGCAATAGAAAAAAAAAAAAACCAACAAACTGGCTTGTTTGAGAACTGCAGAGAGCAAGCAGGACTGCTCACCTGCAGGACATCAACATCACTAAGTGCAGAAAAACTTTCCAGCCCACTAGCTTCTGCTGCAAGTCCAGATGTCTCACAGATAACACATTATCAGGGAGGACAGCAAGAAACAATTAATTCAGCAGGGCTGGCCAAAGGCTGACCGGCTAAGAGGCAGGATGACAAGTATCACTGCCACACACTGCGGAAGGAGCCCAGGGACAGAGCTGTCCTGCTGGGAAGGTACTCGTTAAACCAGCATGATCTGCATTTCCAGCACAACACGCAGAGGTAGAGATGGTGTTATCCCTGCAGAACTCCAGAGGGAGAGCTAAGCATCTCAAAAATAGAAGCCTATCACTAATGATACCCTCCAGACTGCTAATGACTGTACCAAAGGGACAACCACACAACCCATGGAGTCACCCAAGGGGAACAGCTGACAGCCACAGTCAGTTAAACACAGTCACAAATTAACCCTCTAATTTCACCAGCCTGAAGCACCTGGGAGTAAGTTCCTTCCCTCTGCAGACATAAGAGCAGCAGGTAGGAAAGGCAGCCTTGTTAGGGTCATTATTCAATGTCAGTGGAAGCCACAACCCAAAACCAAAACACTCATCTGCCCTTGTGGCTAAGGACACCTTGTGACACAACTGCTAGCAAACAGGAGCAGGGCTGTATCAGGCACACTAGAGAAGAAAATGCACTTTCAACATAAATAAAACCCAAGATGTGCACTAAAGAAACATAAAGCATTTGTATTACCACCATGAGCATTTGGGGATTTTCTTTCAAACCAACCCATGACCTCCCCTTAGTTCTCTCCATGGGGAGCTGGGAACCCCTAAGCTGAGCCTGTGCCTTCCAGAGGGAACTTTCAGCTACTCTGCATCCTGCTCAAAGAGACTGGCCACAATGAGAGGTTGGGTATTTTGCTCCCAACACTACAGAAACAGTCACAAAGCAGGCAGATATGTCAGCCTCAGTGAGACTGCCCTGAAATCCAGCCATGGGGACGTGGGTGCTGGATACAGCCTTGGGAAGGACCATCCCATCAGTGCTCCCTCCCAGGACTCATGTGCTACACACAAGGTGGACATCAACAGCTAAAAACCACTCATTCCCATGCACATGTACCTGTCTGCATCCCTCCCAAGGTTAAAATCCATGCTGAGCTGGCCAAAGCCAAGCACTTGACTGAAGCTGCTTTGGCAAACTGACAAAATGGTCCCACAAGTTGCTTTTACCTGGAAAGGTTTTTGCTCTGAAAGCAGAGGTCAGCAGCTCTCTGGAACAACTTCCCTGGGTCCTGAGATGCTCTGCACTTTCTGTACAGACTGACCAGATTCAAGAATAGATCAATCCCTCTTCATAATGAAAATGAAACAATGTAAGATATTACAGAGCCCTTAGGAGGAATCTGATTCTGCAGCACTCCGTTAAATTCGGTTTTATTAGACCCATCCTTCACTTCAGTGGAAAGGTAACAGTATTTCAAGCCTATTTGCATCTGAATAATAATCCCATGGACTTCTAGAGCATCACCTAGGCAAAGATCCCAGAACACGTTAGAAACACTCCTTTGCTAAACCTCACCACCCTGTGAACGAAATAGGCAGGACAGGTGGGGGCCCATGTACAATATTTTCATCACAACTTGTGTTAGAAAGCCCAGGTGGGCATATCTGAAGTTGGACTTTGACAAACCCTAGAGCCCTGGGGTGGTCAGAAACAGGGGAAGTCATGCCTAAAAGGCTCCTGACTTTGGGCATGGAGCACCCACACCTAAGAAAAGCCTGCTGAAGGCTGATGCTATGTGGTGGAGAGATACATCAAAGTGTGAGCAACAGTTGGGAAAGGACCATCTTCCTCTGTCCTTCTTAATTTCAGACGCAGCCCCTAGCAGGTACGCTGCACCTACTGCCTATAGCAGCTGGGATGAACCCATATTTGGGTGTTCAAATTCAAGCCCATATGAAACAACTACCCAAAATAAAAGGTCTTCTTGAAAATTTGGCTTTTCAGGGCTTTGTGTTTTTTCTTCATTATGATGTATTTTAATTCAGTCGGTATTAGCAGCATGGACACAGTAGTTTGGGTGTTTATGTACAAAACAGAGTAACCCAGAGCTCTCACAGCAACAGGGACGTGGGGTGTCCCATGCTGGGGCTCCCCGCTTCTCCTGCTTTCACACCTTCCTAACAGGGCAGGAAAAAAAAACCAAAAGCACCCACAGCTCCCTGAGAAGCTGCCCATGACCTTGCAGCTGGTCCTTGGGGCAGACCTTGTCCCACGATGGACTCTCTGAAAGCCTCTCCAGCACCACACCTGGATTACTCACGTTCTTTCAACAGTTTCAGGCAGTTTGCACCCACTTCTCCCATAATTTCATCAGCACCACAAACATGGTTTCTCACCCTTGAAAGAGTGTCTTTAAATGCCAAGCTCTCACAACTGCCTGATGGTACTCTGCCATCCAGATGCCTCCAAGCCTACAAATATTCCAGGTGCTGGCTGTCCAGGGAGCGACCAGCTAGTTTGTACTTCCAGGTCACAAAACATCATCAGTGTCATCACTGCTGTTGGTGCACATTGTCCCTGAGAGGATCTCACCACTCAGGAAGGTTCAGTGCAGGGCTGAGAGCCTGGAGCATTATGGCTGTAAACTTCTGTGGCTTAGAGATCCTGCAGCACTTGCATCACCAAGTGGGGTTCAGGCAGGGGTGAATCCTCAGTGTCTG